CTATGACTATGACGCATGTTGGCTTTCCCTGTGGACACGGAAGTCTTCACGCAAAACATCTTACTACGGGAAAAAAAAAAAAAAAGACACGATTAACACCGTAATGTTTTCTACTGGACCGTTAGGATGCAGGTGTTGACAATCGAAATCGGTTCATGCGGATGTCAACAGCGTGATTCGCTGGCCTCGGAATTTTCAGCAGCCTTGCCGCTGCCTGAAAACTGCGGCCGCACGCAGTCATCACGGCTGAGTGACTAAGACCAACGAGGCAGCCGAGTGAGAGGTCACTGAACCACTTGACATGTCCAAACCTAAGCTCGCCCAGATTAAAAAAAGAATAATACTAATAATACAAATAAAAAAGGTTACCGCTTAACGGTACCGGCACATAGGAAACAAGATACCAACAAAAAGTGAAATGGCACAGGGAACGTGACCCTTCGCCGTTTTGCCCATCGCCTTTCAGGGGGCACCAAGCCAACACTCGGATTGTGCCGGGCGTCGGCCATCTTGTCAGTTCGGCCCAAAGGACAGTTTGGGGGTGCGCACAGATGGGCTTCTTCGCTCTTCCGGGCAGGAGAGAACCGCGCAGAGTCGTGGATTGTGCGGGCCGTGGTGCGGGCCGCGGTGCGGAGCCCCGGTCATCGACCACGGGCGCCCAGGGGATAGGAAGCGACCGCTTCCGGCCCGGGGCCCCGAACAACGGGTGCGCCCACTTGGCATCTGCACCTGAACAAAGCTGCCGCGCTGTTCCGTGACGGCACCCCGCGAGACATTGACCTGTCCGCGCCGCCGCGGGACCTCAGACGCCCAGCCGGTTCTATGGCCCGCTGACGGGCACGAGAATCGGGCACATTTGACGTGCATGGCGTATCTTCTTTGTCATCTGATCGTTGTCAGTTATTCCGTCCAGCGTATATGTACTACCGCGGACATCGTGAGCTGCAATCGTCCTTCTCTGGCGTGCTTTTTTGAAAATACTTTGGTCCAAACTACTTGTAGAACGCAACGTTTAGGTCCCGTTCTATGAACTCTCTGACCAAATCGAGAAATCATCTTACCCTGAATGTACCCCCCTTCATGTAATGCCCTTAAGTGGGCCTTTGAGGTACCATGAATAAACGAATAAATAAATAAATAGATCCTCTGACGCAGAAAGAAGCCGGATCCGCTGTTGGTCGGGGCTCATATCGTCCGCGGGAGCGACAAGGTGTGCGGAAACCGATTCGTTTTTCGATTCTGTTTATAGGCCCTCGCAGTGCGTGGTCATCGTGGTGCCGATATTGAATTCTCCAAGTCCGGATTGAAGAATACAATTGTGTGCTGTGCGCACCTGCTATGCAACAATGGCGAAATGAAATATATACGTGTACAAAGCGTCGCCCCACTCGCCCATTTCTACTTCGTTAGATTTTAATGGGCTTTCACATTCTCCATGCCCTTCTGGGCTTCTTTTTTCGCCTGTACATTCTAAAGGTCAGGCGGATCCGTAGCTGCACCCTCATTGAACGCTTTCCTTTGTCTGCGTGTGTGCCGTTGGGGTGTACGTCATCCATTCTTAGTTTCGAGAACAGACTTGCCCTTCCACGTGGAAGTTTCCATCCTATCTATACGCGACAAGTCGAACTCCTCGTGGATGACAAAGCCGCGGTACTGGATTTACGGCCTCCCCTGAAGAAGGCCGATGCGAAGTGCAGATTGAACATGAGTGCTGCCTCAGTGTTCGGACGACGCTCGCGATCAGTCAGTGAGAATACGAGTACGGACACTGACGCAGCAGCACTCGTGTATACAAGCTTTGCCTCGCGTTGGCCTTATTTAGGAAAAATTCGGCACTATGGCTTCGTTTTCAGGGAAGTGTTGGAGTAGTGTTTCTTGACGTTCGCTCTCCTTTAAGAAGACAAGGTCGCTCACACCAGAAGTCACGAAAACTCTTACTTTTCCCCAAAGTGTCCCGTGCAGGGTACATTTGACGTCGAGCGAGAGTAGGGTATGTCCCTCTATGACGGACTGGTAATTATTCGTACGACGAAGCGTATTTTTTTTTTTCTCATATAGACGATACCTCGTTGTAAATAGGTACGGTCTATTTCGACTTCGCCGCGTAGTAACGTTCTGTGTTCCCTGCCAAGCAGTCGACATGCAAGGAATCTCGGACCCACCGATCGCAGGAGTACGGGGCGGGAGTCGCGCGAAGCAGCCCACAGGCAGACAGGGCAACAGGACTCGCCGTCAAGCATGCAGGGCGTTTGTTTTGCCCCGTCCGCACGCAGGCGGGGAGGCCGCAGCATGGCCCGGCGGCGCCCGCACTTTCCCCGGCCCGTGAACAGGCGGAGAGGCCCTTCGCCGGCAGGATCGAGTTCCTCGACCTGCGATTATCTTCGGGGAGGCGCGCGTGGATCGGACCCTGACAAAAGGCGCCCGGGGGGGAGGGGGGGCGGTCAACGGCCGGAAGCGTTGTCCCAGTGACGGGTTCACTTTCGTCCGGACGACGAACCGAGCCGCCTCTGCTCGGTCACCCTGGCCGCCCGCTTCCGCAAGGTCATTGCCGTGCGCGTCCAGGGGTGGCCGCGGTCACCGCTTTCGATTCCCAGTCTGTTGACCGAATCCCGGGCCCTGGCGCGGCCCCCCGCTGCCCGGCGACTGACCCTATCTGGTCCCGATCGGGGGCATGGGTGGGCCGACCGAGTCAACGAACGGAAAGGACGATTCCCGAGATCTGCTTGTTTGCTCGCGCCTGTTGACTTCGGAGGGGTTTCGCGATACAAGCGCGCTCTCGATAAACAAGCCGGAGATGACCTTCCCAGGGCGACCTTCGGGCGCCATTCGGGGCTCCACGTTGCACGAGAGGCTGTTTGCACCGAGGGCAGGAGCGCGGTCGCAGGGGACAGCGATCGGCGGCCGCGAGATTCACCGGCCTACCCGCAGCCACCGAGAAAGGCGCGAGGAATTCCCCCGCCTCGAGGTACGACCAGAAGGGCCGGTGGCGCATTCCTTTGGATCACCAGCCCCTGGTGATCCAAACAAAACGTCCCGCTTTTGACCGAGTTTTCAAGGCTTCCCCGGAGGGGGGAGCTCGGTGGCCAAGGGCAGGCGGGGAGAGCATCGACCTGCGACCTTGAACTGCCCTCCCCCCGCGCAGCGAGGAGGGGAAGTGGGCCATAGCCCGAGTTCTCGGAAGGGGGCCCGGGCTGCCGAATGACCGCCGGACGGGGGAGCCTCCTCTTCTCGGGAAGTGGCCTTGGGCCGCACGACAAAAGATGGCCGGTGCGCACGGGACCCTCTGCGGGGGCCGGCTCCCTCTCGGCGCGACAAAGGCAGCGCGAAAGTGCATGCCAATGGCCCCCGTCAAGGACGCTTCGCCGGACTTTGCCTGGCCGATCCGGGGGGCCGCCAGTGTCCGCGTGCGCCATGTAGGGCCGGGAAACGCGCACTGCTCGCCCAACGATCGCTAAAAGGTACCGAGATACCCGGCTAGAGAATGGGCTCTTATCGAGACGCGCTAATGTAACCGAGGCGCGGACGGTTCCTTGGCTCCAACGCCTCGGGTGCCCAAACAAATCCGGAGGTAGAACAAAAACAAAAAGAAAAGGGTAAACGGACGGGCGGCAAATAGTTTGTTTGAACGACCATTGGAGTTTTAAGACGCACCGTTTCTTTTCTCTTTGCGCGGAGTTTGTGGGAAAGGATACAGCGATGCTCTTTTTGAGAAGGGGGGGGGGGGGGGGGGGGGGTTATCGGGATATCCGAATGATAGTGTGGTGGGCACAAAGGACAAATAAAAGAGGGTGAGGGAAGGAAGGCAAGAGCAACAAAATATGGCCGTCGTGAAACTGTACCACTATCAGTCTCTCAGGAGCTGTGTTAGTAACCGATAAGAGGCGTCTCTGGCCTGCCCGCCAGGGAATGTATACAGAGCATGTAATCGTACAGTCCCCGGCCTTTGCCAACTAAACAAACAGGCCGTCTTTGCGAGGAGCGGGAAAACAGTGTTGGCGACGCAAAGCCGCCGAGCGGAAAAAGACCGCGAAGAAGGACGACCGCGGCGGTATGAAGTAATACCAGCAAAAGGATAGAGGGAAGGCGGAGCGCCGAAATAATAATAAAATCTAACGACGAATACGTGCAACGTGGTAGCCATAGCTACTGAAAGAAATCAGCGGTCAGTGTTTACAGTAGAAAGCAAAAAATAAACACTCGCGGGTAACAATAAACAGTAAGCAAGAAAATGAAAAAGATGACGTCTATAGATATTTGTTTCTCAAAAATTCTTCGAAACACAAATACCGTTTGTTAAACTTCTTAACACCATTGGGTTTTGACGTTCATATTATATTCCCGTGCGGAAAAATACCGGGCGATAAACAAAACCCCTGAATGCGAAAAACAAACGGCGAAACGCGCACAACAAACAAGTCTATTCCGGGAATCCAGGATGCGCGTCTGAATCGCCACGTCTCCGAGCCAAGAGCGCGAGGACGGCAGAAGCGCGAGCCCCGGCGAGGACCCCAAGGCGGCGAGGGCGGCGTGGGCGACGTGGAAAGGGCGCTGGCAGAGGTCGTTAGGCCCGGCGGGGACAAAGACCGGCTGGAAAAGGCAACGCTTCCTCCTCGGAAAAAACAAGGAGCTCCGGGTGCCTGACCCAAGGCGCGAACCGGGAGAGAAGGAACGAGCGCGAGCCCCGTGCTCAGGGCGGAGACAGCCCGGCCTCAGCGATGGGCGGCATGTCGTTGACCGAGCCCTTTTGTGGCAGCGGGAAGTTTGCACCCTTGAAAAAAAGTATTTCACGTGGAGCGTTGACTTCAAATATTGATTCATAAAACGCGAGGTTAGCGACACACTGGCGTAGTGGCTGGGTCATCGAACTCCGAAGGGGGCGGGCGCAAGTTCCGCCGGGCCAATCAGCTTCCGGCGCGGCGCGCTCCCATTGGCCCTCGCCGGCGCTCACGTCAATCAACATGGCGAGGGAAGGCGCCTCGCCTCGCGCACAAAACTAGTAGCGGTGAACTTGAGCTGTACGATTTGGCCTGCTTTCTCCGCGCGGACAAGTTGGGCTGCTAGCCGCGCTGAAACCGGTTTGCCGCCACTTTCACTCGGAGGAGCGGAAGGAAGCGCCAGTCCTCCGGCGGTGCGCTCTCGCGAACGGATGTGCCCGGCTACGCCGCGTCGCTGAACTTGGCCGCCTCCCGAGCTCCACGCTCGCTGCCCAGCCATGATTCTCACCGAGAAGGATCTCCAGCTCTTGGCCACCTTGCCCTTCCAGCAGCAGCAGCTCGAGCGCAAGGACGCCGATCTCAAAATAGGTGTGTGCCGCGTGGACGCCGACCAAGGATTACGCACGCCCGGATGCATTGTTGCGCGGACCTCGGTCGCCGTGTTGGTTGCTGCCGCTCTTCGCGGACTCCCGGAGCGCGGGGCTGTCGTCCGAGATCGACTTCGGGCGGCCCGACCAACCGCCCGAACGAGACTTGGACGCCGGCACGCCGCTCTCGGAGGAGCCGTCGGCGAGCCGGCACGAGGCTTCGCCGCACGACACCGCGGAGCTCCTAGGGACATTTGTTCCCTGGGTGTCGTTGACCCGAATAGCCGCGCGTTTCTATGGCGACGCGGAGAGAGAAGAAAAAAAAAAAAATGTTTATCGGAGGGGTTCACTGACCTAGTGTGCACGCACGGTGGGGGAGAGGGGCCGCGCGCGCCCGAGAGTTCGTTGACCGAGTGAGCCAGCGCGAGCGCCATCTTGGTTGCTCCTGGCAACGCCGTCGGCGTAGGGAGTGGGGAGTCGCGGCTGGGGAGCGTCCAAAAATCGTCTTGAGCTCATGTCGGCCTCCTGTTTCTCTTCCCGCTTCTCTGTAGAATTCGACGGGACCACTGTGTTGTGCCGGGTCTGCGGAGACAAGGCCAGCGGCTTCCACTACGGTGTTCACTCGTGCGAAGGATGCAAGGTAAGCTCTTGTCGATTCACGACGCGGTTCTGGGCACGGAGGGCGGTTTTTCGTCTTGCAGGACTGAGGGAAGCACGACCTCGGTTTCCCTCATTCACTGCGCGACCGAGAAACGCGGCTGAGCAGCCCGGGTGCACGTTTGGCTCGCGTTGTTCTTGCCGCGGCTCGTGGCGATATGAAATGTGCGCGCGTTGTATACAACGCGCGCACAGTTCAGACAGTGCAGGTGGCGATTCAGTGTTCTGTCGCGATCGCCCCCCTCTACGCGTTTCGAGGAGCACGGAATGTCGGAGCAGGAGCGGCTTCTACAGAAACGGGTTGTGTGACAGGCATCTTAAAAGTCGGGAGCACAATGGAAGGAGCGTTCTCAGAGTTGCGAGCCCCTTGGGCCGCTGCTTTGTTGGACGGGCTTCCATTTCTCCCAACAGCTCGGGGCCGACGAGTGTTCCAATCCAACAATGGGCGGTCGGGCAGGATGGGGGACAAGTTCTGACCCAGCGAGCTATTTCACTTTCGGCGACCAAGCGCCGACGGGCCCCAGTTCCCTGCTTTCGGCAGAGTAGGGGAGCCCCCAAAGGCCTTATCCAACAAAGGGCGGGTGCTTTGTTCCGCGCTCCCCCGACCCTTTTGTGAACTAGTTTCACCTTCCTCCCCGAAACTTGTCCCCTGCTCCAGTTCCCCCAAACCGCGGGCTGTTTGCCCTCGCCGTTCCCATAGCGACGGGCAGGTGTGCCCTTGACGCGTTCATTCAACTTGGCGAGGTGAACGTACCCGCGAGACCCAAAATCACATTTATCTGCGCCGCCATTGGTCGCAAGCCCCGCGCTTCCATTGGCTACCGAGGGGAGAGATGGAAAGTTATTGGCCCGTCTGCCAGGCGCCCCTCTCCCGTCCTCCTCCGGGGCCGAGTTGAACGGCCGCCCGGTCGACGAACTGCTCCGTGTTTTTCGCTGGGGGTCACGGTCAAAGCTGTCCTCCTCGCCCGGCGAAAACAACAAAACGGAACCATTGGGACGCGGAAAGCTTTGCCGGGCCGGTCACTTCCTGTGCTCGGCCCTTGTTTTGGTACCCGCCGCATGTACCGCAAAGCGGCGCCGCTCTTCGCTCGGCCGTGCGCGCCTAGTTCTGCACCTTGGAACCCTTTGTGTCGCGCGCTCATGGCCGCCCGCCGGAAGGCCCGGTGTCGCAACCGCTTGTCAACTCGCGCTGTTACCACACCCCACCGACTAGGTCAATAGCGAGAGCGCCGTCTGTCTTGCAGGGATTCTTCCGGCGCAGCATCCAGCAGAAGATTCAATACCGGCCGTGCACCAAGAATCAGCAATGCTCAATTCTTCGCATCAACCGCAACCGGTGCCAGTACTGCAGGCTGAAAAAGTGCATCGCGGTCGGCATGTCTCGTGATGGTACGTACCCTGCTTCTTGACGCTTCGCGAGGCCGGAGTTTATCCACCGCGAGAAGTTCGTGTTTAGCTTGCCGCCGCGCGGTCGTCACCGTGACGTGGCGTTGTGACGCGGAGGAGCGCCGCGTCAACAAACATCGGCGCGCTGCGGTGCGGGGAAGCCCCCCCGCGCGCCGCCAGCCTGGCGGCGTCGTCAAGAGATGGCGCCAGGGGCGGCGTGTCGGCGGAAGCTGACTGTTTCCTGCGGTAGATGGCGCGCCTCCAAGGTCGACGCGCAGAAGTAGGTCGCCGCGCGGGCGTTATTAAACAAGTTCAAGGGCAGGAGCTCGAGAGGGAAAGCGGAAAAGGAGTGACGTTATTTCACCGGCGCTTGGCTGGCTTGGCGCTCTTCCTTGTGGCGACAACATCGATGGGCAGCGCCGATACGCAGTAGGCACAAGAGCTCGGGCCTCGACTCCGACGCGAGCATGATGATGGCTCCGGATCCTAGGCCGGCCAATGCGGGCTACCTTTATTATGTCGACGGGAAACGTAAGTCAGCCTCTGACCGCGCTTCCATCTGTTGATCGCGAGGCGGACCGCTGCGCCGCCGGCTCCCGCTCGAGAGCGATGACTGCGTCGCGCGTGTGCTCTTCGTCGTCGAGGTGCCGGCGAGCCGCGTAGACGCGCGCCGCGGGGTGTCCGTGCCGTCGTCGCGCGCTCTCTTCGGCTTCCGACCGCCGTCGCGGACGGACGACCGATGCAATGTACGTTCGCTTCTCTGATCGTGTGTCGCGCGCTGTGTGCGACTCGGTTTACCGTGTTTGTGGGGCCGGTTGCATTCGATCTGTTCGGTGCGCGATTTCCTGGGTTGCGGAAACCCCAATCGTGCAATTTTTTTTTCTTTTTTTTCTTTTGCGCGCGGTGCGTTGTTACCGTGGGTTTATCTCGCTTCGACAGGCGTTTTGACGGGTTCTGACTGACGTAGCGCCGTCTCTTTCTTCCTCTCTGCAGCCGTGAGGTTCGGGCGTGTTCCAAAGCGCGAAAAGGCCAAGATCCTGGCCGCGATGCAGAAGGTGAACGCGAGCTCGCAAGAGAAGGCCCTCGCGGTCGAACTGGAGGACGAGATGCGCCTGTTCGACACCGTGGTGCGAGCTCACGAGGAGACCTGCGACTTCACCAGCGACAAGGTGGCTCCGCTGTTGGAACGTGCCCGCGCCCACCCCATCTACACGCAGTGCCCGCCTCAACTGGTGAGTGTTGTGCTCGTGCTTGTGGGCAAGTTTCCGATGGGGTTGTCGCCGGAGATTGTCTGTGCGTGTCGCGGCCGCAGTGCTGGTGGGCGCCGGCAGTGTGGGAGTTACTTCGGGCATTGTTGTATGCTACGCAGCTTTTGAGATCTGCTGGCAAAGTTGCCTCGCAGGTGTCAATCACTGCCGAGCAGACTCTGCGTGAGTGTCCTTTGTAGTGGCGTGGCGACTGTCACCGCTGCATCGCTGTCTTAGCGCAGTGACTGAGCTCGCGCCACTTGTCGCGCAGGCGTGCCCCTTGAATCCCACGACGCAACCGGCCGAAGGCAGCGCCGGGCCCTGGCTCATGGAAGACTTCTCCGAGCGGTTTTCGCCGGCGATCCGCGGTGTGGTGGAGTTTGCCAAGCGCATTCCGGGGTTCAGTCTACTGGCCCAGGACGACCAGGTGACGCTGCTCAAGGCCGGCGTCTTCGAGGTGCTTCTCGTGCGGCTGGCCTGCATGTTCGACACCCGCAGCAGTTCCATGGTCTGCCTCAACGGCCAGGTGCTGCTGCGCGAGTCGCTTCACTCTGCGAGCAACGCGCGCTTCCTCTTGGACTCCATGTTCGACTTCGCCGATCGCCTTAACGCCCTGGGCCTGTCCGACGCCGAGCTGGGCCTCTTCTGCTCCGTCGTGGTCATCGCACCCGGTGAGTAGCGCTCTTGCAGTGTGTCCCCTGTCGCTGTTTGGGCTCGGTGGCTAACCCTGGTTGTGTCCGTCGGCAGACCGGCCGGGCCTCCGCAACACCGACCTGGTTCAGAAGATGCAGCGACGCCTGACGGAGGTGCTCCAGAAGGCGGTGGCGGCGGGCCACCCGGACCGGCCCCAGCTGTGCGCCGAGCTGCTCAAGAAAGTGCCGGACCTGCGCACGCTCAACACCCTGCACTCTGAGAAGCTGCTGGCATACAAGATGGAGCCCGCCACTCCACCGTACCTGGACCACTGGGGCCTGGCGGAGGACTGGAGCCCCGCGAGCCCCCGGTCGGTGGCGTCGTCGACCAACTCGCTGGACGGCGCCAAGAGCCCCGTGCGGTCGGGCTCGTTCTCGAGCAGCACGGACTACTCGCCCGACAGCCCGGCCAAGCCGTTTGCCAAGGTGCGGCGCCTTGACTCGCCCACGGACTCCGGCATCGACAGTGGCAAGGAGCCGAGCTGCTGCACTCCGACGGCGTCGGTGTGCTCGAGCCCGCGCTCACTGGACGAGAAGGTGAAAGAGGTGGCCGAGGAGGCGGCCGACGAGGACATGCCGGTGCTCAAACGGGCCCTGCAGGCACCACCCCTGGTCAGCCCCAACCAGCTCATGGAGGAGGCGTACCGGCACCACAAGAAGCTGCGCGCCGTGCGCAAGGAGGCGGCCTCCAGTTCGGCCGACCTGGCCTCCAGCCACAGCACCCTGGTGGGGCGGCTGCAGCAGGCGCCGCGCTTCCTCAATGAGCAGCAGCTCAAGCGCACCGACCTCATCCACAACATCATCATGCGCAACGAGGGCCCCGCACCCAAGTTCCCCCCCTTCTACCCGCCCTTGACGTGGGTGGACGCGTCGCCCCCGCGCTGCCCCTACAGCCCTCCGGGCCCCGGCGCCAGCCCCCCGCTAGTCCTTTCTGACGGCCAGCAGCCGCTCAACCTGTCCAAGAAGCCCGCCAGCCCGTCTCCGCTGGCTGCTCTCAAGACTGAGACGTCTTGAGCGCCTGTGTACATAGCGCCCTGGGACGCATAAGTTATACACACTGTACAGAGAACGGTCAGCCCCGCCGGGGCGGCTCAAAACTAATATAAGTTATGGTGGACCTATCGAAGATGGCGCTGCTGCGGGAGCCAGTATTACGTGCAATCATTTTCTCCGTCGTTTGTCGCCCTCCGTGTGCTTTTATTATTTATGGAGCCAACCAGTCCTTAGTGAGGTGTTGTAAATTATGGAGTGTGGCTGTGCATCTGTGTCTTGTGTTGCTGTCTGTAGTGTGTGGTCGGTATTCCCCCCCATCATTTTCTGTATAAAGGCTTATTTCTTTCCAGCCATTTCTTCAGAATAAAAAAAAAACAAAAGTGGTGATGCCTAAAGCAGTCCCAGTGTGCATTCTTTCTGGCCCTGGGAGTGTAAGATGAGGGCTTTCCTAGAGTTTTGCCTTAGAGCTTAGGATCAGTGGTAACTGCTGCTGCTCTCTTGGAGTGGGAATCGTCCGCCTGACCTCGGACCGTTCTAGCTCCTGGGAAACGCAGCCACTCCCATTCCCCCCCGCACAGTCTGGCCCAACGAGTGTTGCTCCGAAATGTCTGACCCGTTCTTAAATGGAGTACCTTGTTCCACCACATTGTGCGAGGGCTTTATATTGTCCTGGACAAATGTGCCCAGTATTGTGTACGTGCAAGGGTACTGTAGTTTAGACATGCTGAATGTGCTGTTGCAGCCGTCAGTGATGCGCCTTTTCCTGAAACGCAGGCTGTTCCTCTTTTTCAATGGATCCCTTTAGACAATCGCTCCTTCTGGTGTGCAAATACGTGAAAGGTGCTCAACAGGGGTGCCTCCACTCCCTCCACCAAAGAAGCAGGATCCCTCTTGCTCTGTTGAGCTGCAGTGACCTTTAGATTGGGCTCCTATTGTGGCTTATACTTTGTCTGAAGTTCCTTCTAAGGCACTTCCCTCTCCTTCCTAATCTGCGCATTGTTTCATCCTCGGAATCCTCAAACCTTGTTTTTTTTTACTAGGTGGCGCCAGTTCTTTCCAAAATAGTGGATTAGTAACAGTGTTAAAACTGTCGAATTTATACCTCATTCAATTCTAATCTAATAATCAACCGCATTCAGTCGCAAAAAAAAAAAAAAAAATCTGTTAAACGTTAGCACCCACTGCTGCCTCCTAGTAGCGATTTTCCTTGTTGCGCGAGGCTTTTATTTACTTCTTGCATTCCACACTTCGAAAGTTCCGAGAGCGCCGAGGGGCCAGTGTGTCCGGTAGCGCCATTGCGTGCGCTAGTATTTTGTCACGTCGAGGCCGCTGCGGCCAAGTAGAAGCGCTGCACGTAAACCGCCGGGTAGTTTGGTTATACAAGGGCTGCGCGAGTCTTCGAAATGTCACAACCTTGGGGCCTCCGAGGCCAGGTGCGGCGATAAAAAAATAAGAAAAAAAGGGGGGGGGGGGGGGGGGGTTGTTGAGCTGCGCACAGGGAATCGCGCTAGCCTGTGTCAACAGGTAGACGTGGCCTTGGCAGTCATCAGACTGCTGCACGACTTTGAAAGAAAAAAAGTGCGGCGACACTGATAAGGCGGCTCCAACGCCGCACTTGCCACAGTACGCTGACGCGCCCAAGCTATATTGCCCGACTAGGTCGGACGTTAGTGACCTCCGCTTACAGTTCAGCACGTTAACCAGGACACATTATTCCCCGCTTAACTTTCCCGAATTTCTAGGCCCCCTCCTCTCGCAGCTTTCCATCGGGATGAGGGTGGGAGTGTATTATGTTTCGCCAACGGCCGTTTGAAAAGTAAGTTAGTTGTATTTGGTCCAGCAGGAAAGCATGTTTAATATCCACGTCCTTTTTATGCTTGGAATGCGCATAAAATGCGGGAAGCTCTGCCGAATTCCATGCATTGAAAATACCGCTGACGTTTCTCGGTGCACTTCAGTGTGTTCGTGCCTAACGCTGTTCTGCGGTAGAGTTGGAAAATGAGGAACGCGGAGAAGCGGCATTATATTCCTCCAGTAATTATATTTTGTTTCGCCTGGAGATGGGCGTAGGCTCCTTCATATTTTGATTCTGCTGTCTTCTGCCACGCGAGCCTTGCACGGACTTTGGCACTATTATTGCGTTTAGAGCAGGAAGAAACCGGGCATATCGATTGCAAAATAAGCGACCCTGGCTGTGATGAGGAATCCATTGCCCTCAACATTCGGATATAAAACAATCGGTCGGCGGCAAGTTTGCAGTTTAACATTTTGTGATTTCGGAACGCAAAGAAGGCAGGACGATCACAAAAGGGAGTCTGTACTATCAACCTTGGCTTGTGTTCGGTCTGTTCTTATCGTGTTTTCTGAACTTGCAGTGATGAGAGAGAACGGACTAATAATCCAAGATGTACGAAACGTCGAACTGAGCTCTGCTAGGTGCATCGAAAGAGCCCCACAGTTCCCCGCATCACACGCTGCAATCTGGGATTGCCGCGAGTCCCATGGTTTTACGGCGTATGTTATGGTCTGTTTCAGCGTATTAACTGTAGCAGAGGCTCCAACCCCCAAATATTCAGGGACAAGTGGCGTCACTACGCTGCACTCAGTATGAACGCACCATTGTTCTGACGTCATGGAAATGGAGCAGCATCCGTCAGCGCCCTTTTGACAAAGATTGGCACAAGCTCCGCCCAATGCTAACTGCGCATCAATGCAGTAAACATACCGTTTTCTTTTGTTTTTCTTTTTTTTTTTTGTGGACGGAGTTTTTGTTTTAGTTTTTATGTTGCAACTGACTGCAGTTACGGACAGGACAAGAAACGCAGGGCGTCGCATTCGAATGACCAGCCTTCAGCACGCGCCCGTTGCCTTCCTTGGGAAACGAGCGTGCGTGTCGCGAGCTTCCAGCGTGCACTCGCGCACGCCGGAGTATGTTGCCGCATGCAGGAAGCTCGTGATAGGGGTGGGGCAGGTGAAAGACCTCCCTGCCGTTCTTTTTCTGTCAGTGGCTGCATACAGGCACCACAATGTGAAGCTCGCCAGCTTAATTCACACTCGGAATGGAGACGACATAACTGGAAGACGAGAGACTCGTAAGTATTGGTTTCAAATCTTTCGTTAGACTACGACAATAAACAATTCGCTACACCGAACACCCTCTACAGTTATCAAATATAAAAAAAAAAAAAAAAAAAATTTTTTTCGACAAATAGGTTGGAAATCCGAAACCTAGGAGAAGAGCAGCAGGCGTGGGCAGACGAAAACGGGCTGTTTATGAAAGCGCAGCAGCGTCGAACGAGCCTCGTTCGCTGGCTGCTTGCGTCGCCTGTTCAACGGCGTCCGCCAGTCAGTCATCCATCCCTCCGCGCGCACGCGCCAGTCTTCAGGAAGTTGAGAAAGTAAAATCGAGCGCCGCAGCTGCGAGGCGAGGTGCGCGCGCGTGTCCGCCTTCAGTCGGAAGTGTAGCAGACGTGTTTACGCAGACCAAGAAACCGAAAACTGCGCGGGCGGACGGGATGGCGGCAGGGAAGCTTTCGATAAGCGAGGATGCCCGATGAGGCGCGTGAGCGAACCAGCGCTCTTTGTACGACCTGAATGATACACATTCCCCACCGCTGCGCGGGTTTATGAATGGCGTGTCTCTGATGCCAAAACTACCCCGAAACCCACTTCCGCATACTGTAAACGACTTATTTTAAGCGGGCTCAGTATTTCGCGATTTAGGTCAAAGCTGATGTTTTGGAATAATTCGCGGGTTCTAATTTTCGCGACGCGGTGGGATCTCACAGTTCTCCAATGTGTTGACATTTTAACGGAATTGTTGGCGGGACCTATTTTTCGCGAATTGTAGGCGATTCCCGAAATTCGGGAAAATTAAGTTGTTTACAGTATCTGTGTGCGACCTCGTTGAGGATTTCAAGTTTCCGTTTCGAATAACGAGAGGAATTCGAAATAGATGGAATGGAGAGACGAGGTGGGGTGCTCTTTTAGTGGCGGTGTACTTGGAACTGCTCGGCTAGGGCTGGCGTCCAAGTGCCTCCTCTTCAACGGCCATTTCCGAGTATCGTCTTCCTTGTGGTGGCATCATCTACATCACGCAAATTTTACTCCTTGCTATTTTAGCGTCACTTCGAATCGCGTTCAGTACGATCAGTGGCCCGATCAGCAACTGACCAGGACAAAGCAAGACTGCGAGCTAAAGGTGCAGTGTTCTTTTTATGCGAATACCATGTAATTTACTTCGCACAATAGTCTATATAAACACCCTTACATTAATGTTTTATTTCACACGTGGGAGGCTTCTCTAGTTCAGGCCCAAGTCCTCATGATCTATATATTTATTATTATTTGCATAGCCAAGTACTCAACCGTCCGCGCTGACCGCGAAGTAGCTAGGAGTTCGTCCGTGCGCAGCGAGCGTTATTACGCAAACAAGCGGAGCGAATAAACGCCGTCCGAGGTCATAAACTTTTGGTGACTTCATAAAAGAAAAAGCTATGTGGACGCATAACGTCCGACAAGAAAGAGAACTGCAAGCTGCGATATATCCAAAGACAGCAATGCTTTGCTCTTTGCATCCTCCCCCTCAAAAACAAGAATTTGCACTAGCAGCACCGGTGACATTTCCAAGAGAACAGGAGTCGACTTTCCGGCGCTGAATATCCTTCTGTCGGCGTCTGATTTCGTTCGTCTCGAAATCACGATATTCGTTATCGACGGTGTCGATTACGACACACTCGAGTCCGCGCAACCTTCGCAGCCGGAACTACCCGGTCAAGATCTCATATACACGTATTATAATAAAGCACGGGAAGCCACGAGCGGGGTTGCAAGAATCGGGAAGCCTAATATACTGTTTTCCCGGCCAACAAAAGGACCTATAGTCCTGGAGTGTGTACCCGGCCGTGAGCTCGCTATCGGCGCAGCTATATACTCGAAGCGAAAGATCGGGTGGAAAGGCCTCTCAGGGCCTGACACGAACCTTGCTACGACGGGCCGAAAAGAGTTTAGCCTCCAGTGCGACTAACCAACGCACTCTCCCTCTGTCCTTCATTCTTTCGCCGATATAAATTACGGGCAAATTGAAAATATGTCACATGGTATATGCCCTGTTTACAAAACCACGGAGTTGCCCAAAGCCCAAGCGGTGCTCCAGAGCTCCGCCCACAATTCCCTGTCGTCAGCAGACTAAACAACCAAAACAAAAGCAAAAAAAGCTGCGAGTGCTCCACGAGCCAACGCGACTGCCGTGGTTGCACGTAGATATGATAAGTTAGCATCGACATCCGCTTTGCCGCAATGAAAAACAAGCGTCCGCGCGTCAAAATGCCTCAGACGCATCCACCTCGGCTGACGCCGCGAATCCTTCTCGTCGTCACCGACGCCGTACGGAAAG